AAGGTTAATATTATATAATAGTGAGATTTTTTTATAGAAAATTTTCCTTGTGCTCATGCTAGAAATCTACAGATACATGCATGAGAAAGTCTACGTGGACTCCCTAGAATCTATTCTGGATGAGCAACATAATCAAAAAAATGGAAGACTCCAAGTAATGTTCAAAAAAAAAGAAAAAGAAAATGGAAGACTCCAAGTAATCAAAGATTTCTTTTATGGAAAAAGTTTATATAAGGTTGAGGCTCTAAACAATCAAACTAAGGCGTACCCCAAAAATTCACAAGAAGTTGTTTCAATGTCGAAAAACCCTTAAATCTGATCATCTCGAGCTTTAGATACATGGACATACAAAAAAATGAACTTTGGGTCTTGGAAATAGTGCATCTTGTAATGCATTATCTAGACTGTTGATTGTCAATATTTTCAAGTGTTCATAGATCTATTTGATGTACGCTATTTATTAATCTTTAGATTTTATGATTAGAGATGAAAATCAATTTTCAGGCCATCATAAAGATTTATGATATTAAAACGGCATCTTTCGACACTATTTGAAGTTGTGCCTTACTTTGATTGTTTAGGGCCTCAGCTTTATACAAACCACACCCTTCTTTTATTTGTAAGTAGTGAATAATTTCTTAATTACCAACCACGTGTAAACAATAATTAGAAAAATCATATTGCTTATAATTTTTTTGTGGTATAGCTAGAGATAAAGCAGCCACAGTGGAATAGTGAACATCAATAGAGTTAGAAGATTACATGCTTGAACCGTAATAAGTATGATCAAGATGGTGTTTTCTGTTCCATTACTTAAAAAACCCCATTAGAAAAAGAATACCTGTGTGAAGATGCCCTTTGCTTTAGACACATGCAGGCGTGTTGCAATTTCCTTTGCTGCAAAACTGTCTGCAATGGACACAACAACAAATCCCGCTAGAACAATTGCAAGGTATATGACAACTGCATTTACTGTCATTGGCATGTCTATGGCAATTGCATCACCCTTGGAGAATATGGCATCGAGTGAATTTGCCACACTCCTGTAGAACAAAAGACAAGCATCTAAAGGTGCACTTAATCATGTGGAAATTCAGAGTTGTAATAAAGCAGGGACGCTTTTAAAATGCATTTCAACTTATATACCTGTATAAAAGCAAATTTCATATCCCACAGTCCAAACTTACATTGCTTGACCTCGCAGTTCTCTCAAAGTCATATGATTAATGGGGAAGTCATCACGACCCTCGTCTCTCCATACAACAGCTACATTATCATCATGCTTGTTCAGATTTTCCATGGGCAAGAGACAGCACTCAGAAATATTCAGGAGAGAACCTTGCAACCAAATGCCCCTGTGCCTTGAGCTGTCTCCAGTATTGAGAATACGCTCTGGACCTCTATGAAATGTGAGTGAAAGTTCTCTTAAAACAATGGACCAATAAATCTGCAGTCAAACATTTAACAAAATAAATAATCATCAATAGAAAAAACAACTCACGGAAGATACCTTTATTAGATAGATGATATCTACTACTATTATTAAAGTAAAAACCCTAACGTAACTGCCTTTTGGCTCAATGAACACAAGAAATCTGTACACAAAATGACTAAATGGATTGTTTCTTTACCTCTGGATGAAGGACTGAGAACTGATGAAACTTGTCATAACTTGTAATGGGATCACAATATGAGTGTCCTAGAAGTTTTGGCCCATAAGTATCCATTATCCGCCCCAAGTTTGTCATTTTGGCAGATGACCTGTAAGCTTGATCAATTGGTGCATGCAAGGACAATTACAGGAGAATATTCAGAAGTTCATTATAATGCACAAATTAGTTCCATTATAATTCCAGGATTGTCTTAATGTCCGCTATTGACTGGTAGAATGGACAGGGAGATGCAAAAGTTGCCCTCCAGGATTAATGCCCATCCAGGATTGTTTGGGAGTATCAGAACTATTCTAAGCTTCAAAAATTTCCAGTGTATCTATTGGTAGAACATAAACATAAACATTAGGTCTTTGTTGGCACATTGTTATACTAGAATTAGGTCCTAGTAACTGTTTCTGTGCATGCTATAGCATCCAAGAGTAGCCATGGTTGCAACTAATTCAGAAATTTCAAAGGAAGTGGGTGATTATATTTTATACAGTCCAGCTGTCTACAAACTAAAATATAAAACAAATTAATGGTGCTTTGTACTCATGCATAGTAAAGCAGTCTAAACCACAGAGAACTCCAACAGAAAGTGAACAATTAAAGTTGTTCTATATAGAGCTGGGTTCAACTTCTCCAATGGCTATTCCATGGAATAAAGAGGATAACATGGCCATGTTAATAAATTTGAAATTCTGAATTTTGAGTCATGAATCAAGTAATCACCCTTTTCCTAAATCTTGTCCAGATTCCATAATAGTTCACTGTGCTATTGTGTGCATTACTCTGCCCAACAGATTTTGTCCAGCCCTTCATTGGGCTCTTATCATCTCAGGTAATATACGATGCAACATTTTGTTACATCAATTATTTGTAGGTAACTATAGACACATTACAATGTAACATTTTGTTACATCAATTATTTGTTGGTAACTATAGACACATTCTTTTGAAAATTCCAAATCATATTGGTTTATAACAATTGTAACCTAATGCATTTGCCAAAATCACAATTTTCCCAGCAATCTCTGTTGGTATTTGTTGTGAGAAATTATATATTTTTTTCCTTAACAGAGTTAATTGGCAATTTAAAAGCTCAGGTCATCTGCAGAGTCACAGGTGGTATTGGTCACCTTGCTGATGTCACCACTAGAGGAGGCTGCAATTACAGATCAATGGCAGACAACAAGGAGATGGTGGGGGGACAAAAGCTATGAGGAAGTTAATGGTAAGAAGCCAATTGTCATTGAGGTAAGTTCTGAAAAATCAAGGTGGATGACCACATGTTAACTCAATCATGCATAAGTGCATTTTATATTCAAATAAGAAATTTTGACTGGAAGCATATGCAAACAGTGCTGGATAAGGGTCTCTTCGGCATCTTGCAGAATCCTTCATAAACTGATTAATAATCATCCACCTGTTGCTTAAGTCCTAATACAAGGGAAAGGCATAGAGTTCTGACACTATAGCCAAACAAGTTCATCTAGTTTGGTTTCACAACCTAGGTATTAGTCCCGAGGTCAGGTTCCCATATTTGGAAGATAAGGCCAGAGAAATTACTAACTGCTCTAACTTTAAAGGAGACAGCACTGCTAATTGACAGTCATGTAACGAATTACAAGGCTATGAACCAGCTCTGAGCACTCATCAAACAAGGGCGCTCGTGGCAGGGGATGTATAGAATAGTAAACATGCTGTTGATACTATGGCACAATTCAACTAATCTCACCAGTTAATAATACAAAACATTTCACCCATATTTATCATTATCTAAACCCATCAAGACCTTAAAGCAGGGATGCATGGAAAACAGGCTATTTGTGCATCATTACAAATGCACCATTCAAATCTCTCCACAATTCAATAAAAGAACACATTCAGAGT